CTAGAGGCTTATAAGACTTAAATGTTTTATTTTTAAAAGTGCTGATTAATACAAGGATCTGAACTTGGGATTCCAGACTTGAAAATTAAATCACTCGGACCTAAATACTTGCTTATTTAATGTCTTATTTAGATATTAGAAAGGTTCATAAATTGTTGTTGTGTATATTATAACTATCAAGAGAATTTTAGGTTATATTTAGGCATTTTATTATACTTGTTCATTTCCTTTATATTTTTGTAATGGTGCTTTTGAATCACCATGATGCCTTCTAAAACGACTGAATATTTATTTCCTGGCTTGATTGGTTATTTTTGTACTTACTTCATTTGGTTACATTGTACTATATATTCTAATTTAATATTTTGTGAATTCAAATTATAATCCTTTAGTTTTAGACTATTGTTTCAGTTATAATGTTCATACTAGAATGTTTATAATTACGCAGTCCTAGTACAGAAGTATTTCTTTGCTGTTCTAACTTTCGAAACCAAGTATCTTACTAATACATTCCAGTGGAGTTTGTAGTCTTCTATGCAATAGCATATTTATATCACAAATTCTGTTAACTTCACATTCATATTATCTCTTTTTAAAATGCCTTGCTATTTTAGCACTTGCATAACAATATTTTTCTATTTCAACAGTTATAATTTATGCATTTACTCACAATTTTATCTATTTACAATGGGCTTAGTTCCACATGTGGAACATAATTTGTAAACTTGTAGAATAGTAGTATATAAACCTTCTTTGAGTTTGGATTTTTGAAAAATCCTGTTTGGTATTTGTATTAGTTCACTAGGGCTGCCATAACAAAATACCATGGACTGGGTGGCTTAAATAACAGAAATTTATTATTTCACTGTTCTGGAGGCTGGAAATCAAAGATTAGAGGGTTGGCAGGTTTAGTTTCTCCTGAGCCCTCTCTCCTTGGCTTGCAGATGGCTTCCTTCTCAGTGTGTCCTCACATGCCCTTTTCTCTGTACGTGCGTATCCCTGGTGTCTCATCATTTTATAAAGGCACCAGTCATATTGAATTAAGGCCCTGCCCTTATGACCTTATTTAATCTGAATTATCTCTAAAGACCCTGTCTCTAAATATAGTCACATTAGAAGTTAGAGCTTTTTTTCTCTTTGTGACATTTGCCAGTTTTTTTGTGTTTCAGGCTGAGGGCTAAGAGGCCAAAAAGAATTTTGGGCAGTCTCATGGGACTTAAGCAACAAAAATGGGGTTCAGTGTTTGCCAGGCAGGCCTATATGGAAGCATAGACATTCAGGATGGAAAGTATGAGCATAAGTACAAATGAATATTGACTGTGTAAAGCAATAATAATTTTTGTGTTGTATAAAATATATGCAAAATTAAAATATATGAAAATAGCACAGAATTTGGGGATTAAAGTAAGTAAAATTTTGACTACTCTGGATAACATTATATAAATTGATTCATACAGTATTTGTTATTTTGTGACTGTCTGATTTTACTTAGCATAATGTCCTCAAGGTTCATTTATATTGTAGCATGTGTCAGGATTTCTTTCCTTTTTAAGGCTGAAAAATATTCCATTGTATGTATATACTACATTTTGTTTATCCATTCATCTGTCAGTGGACACTTGGGTTTCTTCCATCTCTTGGGTATTATGAATAATGCTACTATGACATGGGTGTGCAAATAACTCTTTGAGATCTTGCTTTGAATTTTTTTAGCTATATATGGAGAAGTAGAATTGCTAGATAATATGGTAATTCTATTTTTAATTTTTTGAAAAACAACCTTATTGTTTTCCATCGCGTCTGTACCATTTTACATTTCTGCCAACATGTACAAAGGTTCCAATTGCTCCACATCCTCACCAGACTTGTTATTTTCTGGTTTTTGTTTGTTTTTTAGTGGTAGTCATCTTAATGAATGTGAAGTGTGATATATTATTGTGGTTTTGATTTGCATTTCTCTTATGATTTGTGATGTTGAGCTTCTTTCATATGATTGTTGGCCATTTGTATATTTTCTCTGGAGAATTGTCTTTTCAAGTCCTGTTCCCATTCTTGAATCGTGTTATTTGTTTTCTGGTCATTGAGTTGGAGGAGTTCTGATATAAACCCCTTATTTGATACATGATTTGCAGATATTTTCTCCTATTCTTTAGATTACTTTTTCACTCCGTTAATTGTGTCCTCGATGCACAGAAATTTAAAGTTTTTTAAAAAATAAATTTTATTAAATTTATTGATGTGATAATTGTTTAATAAAATCATATAGGTTTCAAATGTACAATTCTATATATTGCATTGTGTGTGTACAATTCTATATATTGCATTGTGTGTTCACCACTCAAAGTCAAGTATCTTTATGTCACCATATATTTGATCCCTTTTACCCTCTTCTTTTTCCCCACAACCCCCATTTCCTTTTGGTAACCACTATACTGTTGTCTGTGTCTACGAGGGTTTATTTATTTGTTTGTCTTATTTGTTCACTTGTTACATTCAGTTTTATATTCCACATATGAGTGAAATCATATGGTTCTTGACTTTTCCATCTGATTTATTTTACTTAGCATGATATTCTCAAGATCCATTCATGTTGTCACAAATGAATCTTTTCTCATGGCTGAGTAGTATTCCATTGTATATGTGTATCATACCTTCTTTATTTAGTCATCTGTCAAAGGAAACTTTGGCTGTTTCCATATCTTGGCCACTGTTTAATTCGTATTCCATTGTATATGTGTATCATACCTTCTTTATTTAGTCATCTGTCAAAGGAAACTGGCTGTTTCCATATCTTGGCCACTGTTTAATTTTGATGTAGTCCAATTTATCTATTTTTACTTTTGTTGCCTTTGCATTTGGAAAGAATCTTTGTCAAATCCATTTTGAGTTAATTTTGAATACAGTGAAAGAGAAGGCTCCAACCTCATTCTTTTTATGTAAATGTCTAATTTTCCCAACACTATTTGTTGGAAAATATCTGTCCTTTCTGCCATTGAATGGTCTTGGCACCATTGTTGAAAATTATTTGACCATGTATGTGAGAGTTTATTTCTGGGCTTTCTATTCTTTTCCATTTGTCCATATGCCTGTCTTTATGTGTACCACACTGTTTTGATAACCGCAGTTTTGTAATAGGTTTTGAAATCAGGAAGTGTGGGACCTTCAATTTTGTTTTTTGTTTTTTTTTCAAGATTGTTTTGGCTCTTTGGGGTCCCTTGAGATTCCATATGAATTTTAGTATGGATTTTTTTTTTATTTCTGCAAAAAATGCCATTAGAATCTTAATAGGGATTGCATTAAATCTGTAAATATTGCGTAGTATTGACATGTTAATAATATTAAGTCTTCCATTTTATGAACATGGTATGTCTTTCCATTTATTAATATTGCCGTCTCCTCTTAAGAACTGGATCTCTGAAGGCAGGGTGTGTCCTCCTACGCGCTCATGGTGCACACCTGGGGCCTGGTGTACCCAGGGCCCAGTGCACCAGAGGGGCTTGGCGTACTCAGGATATGGGCCGTGGCTCTGCTGGGGCTCGAACCCAGGACCTTCTGCATGTAAAGTAGACGTGCTGATCACTACTCTATAGAACCTCCTCTTAAGAACTGGATCTCTGAAGGCAGGGTGTGTCCTCCTACGCGCTCATGGTGCACACCTGGGGCCTGGTGTACCCAGGGCCCAGTGCACCAGAGGGGCTTGGCGTACTCAGGATATGGGCCGTGGCTCTGCTGGGGCTCGAACCCAGGACCTTCTGCATGTAAAGTAGACGTGCTGATCACTACTCTATAGAACCACCTTCTAAATGTTGTTTTAACTGGAATTATATTTAAAATTTTTTTCTTTTGGTATTTTTTATTATGAGTGTATAGAAACAACTGATTTTTGCATTTTAATTTTGTATCCTGCAACTTTGTTGAATTAGTGTATTACTTTTGGCTTTTTTGTGTGTGGAATCTTTAGTTTTCTGCATATGTAGAAAATACATCGACATGTACATCAAAAGTAGAATATTCTTGGCAGTATTATTTACAAAAGCCAATAATCTGAATGAACTCAAAGGTCTATGAATAGAAGAATGGACAAATAAATTGTAACAGCTTTATACAATGGAATATTACACAGTAATGAAGATATACTGTTGCTACATACAACAATATGGACTAATCATACAAACATAAAAAATTATTCTCAAAGAATCCTATCTATTTCCAAACAAAACTAATATGCCGTTTTATAACATTTGCTTCTCAAAGTATAGTCCAGAGACCCCTGAGAAGTTCTGGTCCTCAGGAAGCTTTTAGAAAATCTGTTAGGTCAAAACTATTTTCATACTACTGCTAAGACTTTATGTCTATGTGCCATTTTCACTCTCATTCTCTCACAAGTGTACAGTAGAGTTTCCCAGGGGCTACACGATCTGCATTTTTGTTAGTGATTGAATGCAGAAGCAGATAAGAGAATCCACATATCCTCTGTTAAGCCAGACATTAAAGAAATTTCCAAAGTTTAAAACAATGTCTCCATAAATTTTTTGGAAGATGGAGTTATTTGTGTTAAGACATGTTATTTATGATAATATGTATATTTTAAAATTTTCTTATTTTTTATTTCTAATAGATTAAATAACACATATAAACAAAAGCTCTCTGGAATTTTAGTAATTTTTTCTAGAGGCCAAAAAGTCTGAGAAACATTATTTTCTATGACAGGATAGTGGGTACCTTTGGGTAGTAAAATGGCTTTAAATGATTGGAAGGAGACCTGTGGAGACTTCTAGAATGTTCGTAATGGTCTGTTTTTTATCTTAGCAAAGGATGCATAGGTATGTTCATGTTATTAAAAGTCTTTAAAAGCTGTGTATGCTTTTATATATAAAGTACTAGTTGCAAATTATCCATTGACATTCATGACCTACCATATATATCACCAGAAATTAATTTTGTTACCATGAGAATTCTTTACTATGTCGTGAGCTTTGTTTTTAACAACGTATCACATTAGTTCACATTCTGGAATAATCAGGTGTGTTTTCTTGGTTTCCTGCCAAATCCTATTAATTATTTTTTTAGTATATCTAGAAATCTTGTGTATCCTATTAATTATTTTTTCTGACAGTATATTTGTCACCCTCATAGGAAGAATCCTGTCCATTTTCAACATTTCAGTCACCCTGGTGATAGTGATTATGGAGGCGTACAAGTTATGTGTCAAGATGAGGCTGATGACCGGCCTGAATGTCCTTATGGATCATCTTGTTATAGGTATGTAAATCTGAAACATTTGGTCGTGCTTCTTTCCTCCTTAATTTCTGTTATTTATTCATTTATGCCTGCAGTTTCTCATCTCAAGCCTTCAACATCTAGTTTTTAAACCTCTAGATAATAGGTTTTCATTTTGTTAATAGGTAGGATTCTAGTCTTTTAGATAATTCTAAATTGTTGACATTATTAACCATATAAAAACCTGAAATTGTTCCTTATTTCTAACTTTCTAAAATGCAAATTATACAATTTAAAAGCTGTCGACGCAACATATCATATACTTTATCCAGACTCCTTGGTGTGACACATTTCAAATCAGGACGTTATCTCTGCCTCCTGCAACTTCTACCATTCTTGCCAACACATACTGAATCCTAAAAGAAAAGTAAAAGTACTTCTCTTCTCTGCTTCCTTAGCGTGTTGTGCCTGTCTGTATCATGCAGAATAGAATTTACCTCATGAGGTTATGTTTGTTTCTTTACTGGAATGTCTCCTCCTTCAGGCAGCAAGTTTCTAGCCTGCAAGGACACTTTTATCCTCTCTCTGCAGCTTCATTTAATAAATGAATGAATTTGAAATAAGTCAGACCACCAAAGAAAGAAGTAGTGATTCTAGTCTTAGCTTTAATTCCAGAGAGCCATCTTTCAGATATAATTTGGGATACAATTTCCTAAACCTTCTGGACACTTTGAAGTTGTTGCTGTTCCTATAATTGTGGTTTTTAATAAAAAGGCATAGTAAGCTTCTTAAGCGAGAAAGAAAAATTAAAAAGCTTATTATGCCTTATTATTTGAAAAATAAGTGTTCCATTCCAGTGCAACATCATGCCGATAGTAATTAGAAGATATTTTCATTAGCTATGTCAATAAACTTGAAAATTTAGGACAAATGAATGAATTCTTAGGAAATATAACTTTTAGAAACAAGAAAAAAATAGAAAATGAAATAATCCTACATTAGAGAAATTGAATGCATAAATAAAAGCCTTCCACTAAAGAAATTCGAATTCTCTTTGGCTTTATTGGCTAATTCAACCAAATACTTAAAGAAGAAACACTCGATTTTTATATAAAAAAAGCAAAAGGGGATATATTCCTTAACTCATTTTATGAGACCAGAATAACCTCGATACTAAAACCCAGCAAGAATAATACAAGAATGAAAAATTCTAAGACAAAGTATTTTTGAACTTAGCTGTGAATATCTTTAAAAAAAAAAAGGTTAAGTGAGTTAAGCAATTAAAAAAGGAAAATATAACATGACCAAATTAGGTTTGTTCAAGGAATGCTATTTTGTTTAGTATTTAAAAATAATGTAATTCACCATATATCAGAATAAGTAGAAAATTATATAATCATTTCAATAAATTAAAAAACTGACAAAATTCATTTATGAATTTACTATCAAAACTCATTTCAAAGTGGGAATAGAAGGAAACTTTTTAAATATCGTACAGAATATCTACAAAAGCTTATAGCAAACATCATATTAAAAGTGAGATATTAAAATTTTTCTTTCTGATATCAGAAATGAGACAGTAATATTTCTTCTTTTAATTCTGTCAGTTTTTCTTAATGAACTCACTGCAATCTATCCTCAGTGGAAAAGCTATAGAAATGGGAAACTCATTCAGAGCTGTTCCCTTTTTCATGTGTTGGCTTTCCTCTGGTTTCTGCCTGCTTTTGGTAGCTTATCCATTGCCTTAAGATTATTGTTTTTAATATTTTTTCTAGGGTATAATTGTTACCTATGGGATGTTTGGTCTGATACAATGTCTTCTGTCATTACTAGAAGCAGAACTCTTACTTTGTGTCATATAATATAGCTGCTCTAGCTTTTGTTGGTTAGTGTTTGTGTTACATTTTTCATCCTTTCACTTTCAACCTTTGTCCTTAAATTTAAAGCATGTCTCTTACAAATAGCATGTAATTGGTTCCTTGGTTTTAGTTGTAATCCAGTCAGATAGTCTGCCTTTTAGGTGGAGTGCTTAATCTGATTACATTTAATATAGTTACTGTTATATTTGAGTTTAATTTTGCCTTTTGTTATTTGTTTTCTATTTGTCCCACACGTTCTTTGTTCCTGTATTCTTTTCCTGACTTTGTTGTAGCCACCAGCCCCCGATAGACACACGGACCACCAGAAATCAGTGAGTTACAGGAAACACACTCTTTATTCAGCCAGCTGGATCTGCCAGGGGTACGCAGACCCCAAATTAAGCAGCAGTGAAATGTGGAGGTACAGGGTTTTTAAGCCCTAAACCCCATTCTTCATCCTGTTTGAACACACAAGTCTATTTTTCTTCTTTATACTAACTGTCAACCTACAGGTCGGTTGTGCAAGCGGTGGGTTCAGAAGCAGAAAGCTTATTGTTAGAGTGTTATGTTCCCATGGGCGATCGCCAAGCAGTAATTTCTCAGCCAGCACAACTTTTTTTGGGATTAGCCAACTGTTTTTCATTCTACTTTTTTCTCCTTCATTAACATTTTAGTTATATGTATTTTTTCATTAGTTATATTAGATTTTAATAGGCATCACTGACTTATTATGATCTACCTTACAGTTGCTACTTTTACCATTTCCTAGTGTGATAAGCTTATATCAATTTAACTCCATTTACTTATTCTGCCTTTTTTTGTTTAACTATTGTCATTATATATTTTTACCTCTACACATGTTAACTTATAAGGCATTATTATTAATTTCGTAAATGTTAAACATCAACATTCTTTTATTTTTAACTAGAATATTTATCATTTCGGGTACCCTTCATTTTTTCCTGAAATTTTATTCTTTCATCTGGGATCATTTTCTTTTAGTTATAACTTCTTTTAGTATTTCATGTTATGAAAATTTGCTGGAAAAAAATTCTTTTAGCTTTTGTGTGTCTGAACATGGTCTTCTTTAGATTTTCTTTTGAAGGATGTTTTTATTCAGCGTAGAATTCTAGTGTGACAAGTCTTGTTTCCTTTCATCACTTTAAAGATGTCATTTCACTGACTCTTGCCTTCCTAGTTTATGTTGGAAGTACATTATCTACCTTATTGTTCTTTTGTAACTAATGTGCCTTGCCTCTGGCCACTTTTGAGAATTTTATCATTGCTTTTACTTTCAGTAGTTTAACATGTGTTTAGGTATTTTTTTCTTTGTATTCTTTTCGTTTTGGGTTTGCTGAGCTTTTTGCAAGTGGTTCTCTTGTTAGTTTAGGGAAATTGCTTGGCTATTATCTCATCAGATATTGCTTCTTCCCCATTCCATCTCTTCTCTTTTTTATTCCAGTTAAAAATATATTGAACGTTTGACCAAGTCCCACATGTCTTTTCTACATTCTTTTGTTCTTTCAGTCTTTTCTTCTGTGCTTCAAAATGGATATTTGTTATTGACTTATCTTAGAGTTTACTAATCCTTTCTTCTCTTGTGGATAGTCTGCTCTTAAATTCATCTAAAGAATTCATAATTTCAGAAAATGCATTTTTCAATTCTAGAATATTCGTTTTTTTATAGATTCGAATTTTGGTGATATTCTCTATCTTTTCATTCACATTCCCCTTTTTCTCACTCTTTTATTAAAAAAAAACATATTCTTTAACATATTTGCCTTAGGTATTTTAAAATTTCTATTTGCTAACCAACATTTCTGGATCAGTTTCTTTTGTTTTGGTTATTGGTCATATTTTTCTGCCTCTTCATGTGTAAGTAATTTTTTTGAAATACTGACATAGTTAATGAAAAAAACTGTAAGAATTATAAATGTTCGCTTCCCTCAGGGTGACTGCTCTCTTTGGCAGACAGGAGATAGTCATCTCTGTCTAGTCAGATTTAGATGGATAATAGGTAGGTTGATGTTTTAATTAAACTTGGTCTGCTTTTGGTTTGTCTCTGTTCCTTTGACATGGCATTTCTAGTCTTTTGATAGAAAGGTCTCTGTCTTTTTAGCTGTGAAACTTCCCTCTAGAGATTTTGAGCTTATTAGCCCATTAGCCTACCACTCATGCATCTTAAATTCTGACACATTTCTTGAAGGGGAACCAGTTACATGTTTGCTATAGATCTCTTTCCTGTAGTGGGACTTTATCTCTGAAACACTAAATGAATTGGAGGTTTCACTCTGCCATTTTGAAGTTTCAGACCCAGACTTTAAGCTTCGCACACCTTCCAGAACTCAACAAATATTTCTTGGGAAAAATCGGCCTTGTATTAGAGTTTATTTAGTTTCTAAACTGTCATGACAATCCCATGAGACCATGAAAAGCTTTACTAGTTTCTCTTTTTTCAAATTTGGTCCAGATTGTATCTTCAGCCCATACCAAAAATTGCCAAAGACCTTTAAGGAATAAAAGGGCCATTGATTTTCAGTTCACCTAAGAAGGGCTTTTTCCTCCATGAAATGTTAGATAATCTAAAATTTTCATGCTCCCACAATTCTCTCACAAAAATAATTTTTATAATTTATCAGGTATTTTTCTAGTTATTAAAACAAGACTGCCATGGTCTGCCATGATGTCCTACATTTTTTAGAAGTAAAATCCAAATATGCCTATTCTTGAGAACAATAAAAATGAAATACAAAGCCTTGTGGAGAATAATGTCAAAAATTGCTGCCTTTATTTCATTAATCTCTTTAAAAGAGGTCAGAGTAGGGAGTAGTGAAGAGAAATTACTCCAAGGCTAGTGACTCACATGTAGTAATAGACACTTTCAAATATATATCTAAATATATTTATATGTACATATAGCATATTTTCCTTTTTCATCTGTTGAGCTCCTTAGTGTCCTGGTTCTACTTAGAGATAATTTTAAGATTTTTTTTCTTGTTAATTTTAATTACAGTTCAGAAAAACTCTTGGAGAATGTTAAATATGATCACTTACTCTGACTACTGTTTTACAAATAAGGGAATGGAAACTAAGAAAAGTTAAATGAGTTTCCTAAGACCCCAAAGCTAGTGAGATCAAAACCAAATCTCCTCTTTCCTGCAATGGAGCATTTTTCTGTGGAAT